TGAGTGCGACACCCTGTGGGGAAGCTGCAAGGTTCGAAAGAAGAAAAAGAAATTTAATTTACTGTGGACAAACAGTTCGAAGAATTCTACATACTCCTTTTTTTGCTAAACCACAAAAAAATCTCTGGCAAGAAATGACTGTGAACAAAAGTGAAAAAGAGTTTCAGTTTAATTTGGTTATTCTGTTGAAGTATCCCTTTCTCTCCACTCTTTCTGGTTCTCTGTTGTAGCATTGGCCTCCATTCTTGTCCTGTATATTGTAGCTGCTCCTCTTGTGTATAGTCTTGTATACTCCTTGATCCATTCCTCTCTTCCTGTTATTTCTGTGGGAAGTGGGTGTCTCTTTGTTGGTTGTTAGTGTTAGTTGTGGTCCCATTGTTCCTCTTCCTTTGGGTTATTGTTTTCCCCCACTTCTTTTGACCATTGCCTAGGGAATAGTCCCAGGAGGATGGCTGCCTTCTGGCAGCTATTGTCTCCCACCCACACCTTTTAGTGATATTGTTTTATTATGTAGCCCCTCAATTGCATCTACCCCCAATTCTTGCATGATACTCATAATGCCTCTTTGTTTTCAATTGCTGCTTCCTTTGGTAAGTCTCAATTTTTAAATCTCCACCAATGATGCCCCAGCTGACTTCTCTTCATCTGTAATTTTTGTATTAGATTCAAATCATTTTCTGATTTTGACTCTGGGCGTAGGTTGGCATGGTATGTGATTTTCCACACTACTTCCTTGGTCGTTTTGTCTTCTATTATCTTTGATTTGATCCCTTTCTTGTGTTTTTTGTGTATTTTCATGTTTTTGCATACTTGAGTCTACCCACCTTCCTTACACATATACTCCAATATCTGTTTCTTTATCATGTAGGCATTTGTATGGTGCCACATCAGGAAGGGTTGTTCCCTCCCCTGCCAGGCAGTCTGCTTCTTTTTTCCTCTCACTATGGTATGGAAGAGATCTCCCCACACAATTTCTTGCTATTTTTTTATAGTTTTTTTGTTCCATTTTTATATCACCCCTCCACAGTATTTTCTTCTTTTCTATGTGACATACCTGCTGCACAGTTTGTTGTGTATGCTGATTTGATGGCCTTTATTTTTAACCCACTCATGCTGCAGAACCTACACAGTGAGTTCCACTGGTCTTCTATGTCCACTTCTGTCCTGCTGGTTAAGGTGATGTCATCAGCAAATGCAGCTACTCCCACCCTTGTTCCATCCTCCATAAGGTACCCCTTTTTATTGTGGTGTAGTGTTTCTATTATTGGGTTGATGAATAGGTTGAAAAGGAGCAGTGATAGGGGGTCTCCCTGTTGTACTCCTTGTGTTACACTAATTGGTTCAGAGTTGCCATAGTCTGTGAGCACACTAATGGTGTTGTCTTTGTACATTGTTCTAATTAAGGTCTTGGTAGCTGGGCAGAATGGGCGTGCCTTGCTGCCTTTGNGGTGCTTCAGGTTACCTTTTGTTACATCAAAGGCATAATCTGAGGTACATCA